CTGCTAAAGAAAACTCATAGTTTAAACATTTTAGTATACTGACTTAGATTACAGTAAGACTTTGTGTTGCCTATAGTTTTTTGTGTGTAGAGGTGATGGTATCAGAGATTGAACTCTGGGCCTTGCTCATGCTAGGCAAATACTCTTCTACTAAGTTTTATTTTCAGACAGGGTCTTACTAAGTTGCCCAGGCTGACCTCAAACTTGTGATCTTCCTTCCTCCTTCTCCCGAGTAGATGGGATTACAGGTGTGTTCCATCACACCTGGCTGTTTATTCATCTTAAAGTCAGATGATTATTCAACTTTTCATTTAAACTCTCCCATGGAATGTGTATATTTTAACATAAATAAATTTGCTGCTTGCAAGACGAAACTAAAGTAAACCTCTTCTCATATGCTGCCATCCAGAGTGCTGTTAACTAAACGCTAAAGCACTAAAACGGGGGTGGGGGTGGGGAATGATGAAGTGAAAGCAGAAGTTCTGATTGCCACAAATACAACATCCCCACATGTTCCCCTCCCCTGCTACTGCTGATCAGCATTTTGGTGATATGTTTCAAAGAGGAACTGCCATGTGAAGCATTTCTGTTGTAGTGGTTCTTGCTGTTATCCAGATATACTTGCTTTTTAGTTATGACCATAGAATTCTGTAGGTGTTATCAGTGACCTTGGTTTTCAATGCACCATTGTTTGTTTATCATAAACAGTAATAAATATCAATGCCAGAATGACCTCCCTTGCTCTCACATGCAGCTTTCTTTTATTGCCATCTACTGCCTCCCAACCCCTTCCTCATCTCACTTCACCCATGCTGTTGGGAGCAGGGTTGAAAGAGTTCAAAAAGTTGGGCGAATGTCAAAGTCTCTTTTTTACTTTACACTGACCAAATGTGATATGTAGATATTCCATGGTAACTTCCATATACAGACTTGGGAAGAATCTCACTGTTTGAGGGGGACCTGATAGAGCCTCTCATCCAGTTTCCTTTCAAAAGTATGACATGCCAGTGTCATGGCATTGACAGTTGAGATGGGTCAGTGTACTACTAAGCCATGGCTAGGAATGGATTCTGAAGTCTTGTATTTGTTTTTGGACTTATTCCCTAAAGGTGAAACTAGCCAGAGGTGAAGATGGAGATTGCTGGTATTTCTGTCCTAAATATCTGAAACTGGTCTAAAAGTCAGTTGTTCTTTTCGACTTCCTTGAGTAAACCACCTCCCAGTCCAGGACCCTACCAGGGTATAAATAACTTAACTAAGGACTCTGTCTGGAACATCCTTTGGGCCATTCTGGATCCTACTGGTCTTGGTAACTGACAAGTTCAGGCCTCCAAAGGAGCTAGATAAATGGCCTCTCTATATTCCCTTGACTTGCCTCTTATGTTCAGAATACAAGTGAAGGTTGGCTAAATGAGAAGATAATGGCAGCTTAGGTAGAAGTAAGTCCAAAAATTTTAGCACTAGGAAGCTTCTTAAAGATCATTTAGTCCCTTTATTTTACAGATGAGGAGACTGAGCCTAGAGTGAGAATTGTAATATCTCTGATTTATAAGGCAATATAAAGTTTATCCAGTTTCACCTCCCAATACCTTCTTATCCTCTAGAAATTTCTCCTTCAACATGCCTGATACTAATAGCTGGTTATCCAGAGGCTGAGGGAATTTACAACCTTATCTAAAAAGAACCTATTCTACTGTAGGACAGTGCTAATGAAAAGAAACTAGGTAACTAGATAGTTAACTTCCATGTCATTTAGCTTCTTAGCAAGTCTAATTTAATTTCTCTCCTGCAATAACCCCCCAAATTAGGAAATACCACTATAGCATATAATTTCCCCAAAGTAAAAGATCTCTATTGATTCCATAAAGACTGGGCATTACACTCTTTCATGTGTCCATAACAATAGCAAGTCGTCGTCCTCCTCCTCCTTCTGTTTGTTGTTGTTTGTTCATTTTTTTTCCCCCCTATCCTGGGGATTGAACCCAGGAGCACTTTGCCCCTGAGCTGTATCCCCAGTCCTTTTTTAAAATTTTTTATTTTGAGACAGGGTCTCACTAAGTTGCTGAGAGTCTTGCTACATGGCTGAGGCTAGTCTTGAACTTGGGGTTATTCTACATCAGCCTCTTGAGTAGGTGCAATTATAGGTATGCACTCTCACACACAGCTCTGTAACTTCTTTTTTCATTTAAGAACCACTACTTCCTTGGTTCTTTTCATATTTTATTTCTGTCACTAGCACTAGCATTTAACTCTTTTCATGACACTTTTAATAAGGAAGCATACATTTTATCACTGTGCATATAACTGTATATATCTACAGGGAAAAACCAGCAGGTGGGGATCAAGTAGGCTAGACTCGCCCTGGCAACTTACCTATGGTTTCTCAATTCATATGTTCTACCTGTGATATGGTGGGCCCCCCTTTCAGCTCTCTCCTTCTGAGCTTATGACGTTTTCCAGTTGGTCTTCTTATCTCCACCCTTTTCCTATCCCAAAATAAATTCTGTTGAATGATTTGTCTAAAATGCAAAATTGACCTGTACTTCCTTAGTTCAGTTGTTCCTCAATACCCAGTGTTGTACAAATTTTCCAGTTATATGCTACTGATGTTGGAAGAGCTTTTGTCAACTGGAGTTTCATAAGAAAATTAAATCCTAATGCCATTAGCCATTTATTGTATGTAATATATTAACTTGTTTGCTCTGTATCTAGAATGGTGCTATTATGTACAATCTTAAGGAAAACTGAGAAAAGTCACTAATCATTTTCTTTGTTCTGTGATTCAGACAAGTAACCCAGTTATGAAAGACTGGAGAAGTATCTGTTTTTCAAGAGGCCCAGGAGCATAGCTGGGAGCAACTTCAAGGGGAAAACCATCAAATTTCATTGAATCTAGGGTTTTATTTTTAATTTTTATGTGAATATTGCATTTTACTCTATAATATGTCCATGGTTAAAATTATATTTATTTATGTATTTATTTATTTTTGGTACTGGGGAATGAACCCAGGGACACTTTACCCCTGAGCTATATCCCCAGCATTCTTTTATTTTTTGAGACAAGGTCTTACTAAATTGCTTAGGGTTTCGCTGGTCTTGCTAAGGCTTTTCTTAAACTTGTGATCCTCCTGCCTTAGCCTCCAAAGTCACATCCCCAGTCCTTTTTATTTTATTTATTTAATTTCGAGACAGGGTCTCACTAAGTTACTTCTAACTTGCTGAGGCTGGCCTCAAATTTGTGATCCTCCTGTCTGAACCTCCCAAGTTACAGGTATAAGCCAAAGTGCTTACCTACAGGGCATTTTTTTTTTTTTTTTTTTTTTTTTTTAGAGACAGGGTCTCACTGAGTTGCTTAGTGCCTCACAGTTGCTGAGACTGGCTTTGAACTCATGATTTTCCTGTCTCAGCCTCCCAAGAGGCTGGAGTTATAGGCATGCACTCCCACGCCCAGTGTCTAGAGGGCATTTTATATGTATGTATATTATTCCATGTCCCTAGGAAAGTTATTCAAGATAACACAATAAAACGTCAGAGTCAAGGTACTAACCCATGTATGTCAACTCCAAAGCCCAAAATGAGTTTTCTACTGCTTGAAGCTAAGTTGAGAGAATTAAGAGCCTAGAAGTCCTTTTTTTTTTTTTTTGGTACTAGGGATTTGGGGATTGAACCCCAGGAGCTCTTAACCCTGAACTACAGCCCCAGCTCTTTTTTTTTTTTTTTTTTTTGAGACACAGTCTCGTTAAGTTGCTGAGGCTGGCTTTAAATTTGTGATCCTCCTGTTTCAGTCTCATGAGCCACTGGGAATATAGGCATGTACCACTGCGCCTGGCTGAGCCTGAGTCTTTTTGGCCATTTCTAAGTTAATCTTCATAGGAATATAAGATTTTTTTTTCTTGGTCAAGTTACTATTTGGGTTATCATGCATAATTCTGCACTTTTGCAGAAGACAACCAACCATTATCCAAAAGAAAAATGAATAACAGTGCAATAGCAGGTATACTTTTCTAGTTGTTTTGGCTTGATAGATATTGATGTCTTGTTATTTCTTGAATATTCTCTAGCTGGTTATGGGAACTGGCTTTTCTTGGAAAGAGGAAGCTATTTTGCGAGGTGTGGTAGCACACACCTGTAATCCCAGTGACTAGGGAGGCTGAGACAGGAAGATCACAAGTTTGAGGCCAGTCTCAGCAATTTAGCGAGACCTGTCTCAAAATAAAATTAAATAAAAAGGTCTGGGGATACAGCTCAGTGGTACAAAGTGCCCTTGGATTCAGTTACCAATATCAAAAAGAAAATAATAAAAAGGAAGCCATCTTGTTATTGAAAACTTGCTTTTAGGTACACCCTACACAGATGACAGTTAGTAACTCTCTTTCTGTCTGCTTACCCAAGGTACTTGGAAAAACATAAATGCTCAAGCACCAAAGTATTAGAATTTGCTCTCTACCCCCTGTATGACATTTGCCTAGCTTTCTGGAATCCAGTTTCCATGAGGTATCCAGAGGGAAAGTCTGGAATGCACTGGCAATGGTCACATTCAACACAGAATTTCAAGGTAGTCTGGCTTTGTAGCTCCTCTGAGAAGCTGGGACAGTGAATGGAGCCCCAGTGACTTTTCCTTTTGCTTCTCAGTCTCAACACTAGAGATTAAACCCAGGGCCTGGAACATTCTTGGCAAGTACTCTACCACAGAGCTACAGCCCCAGCCCTTTGTATTTTTTTATTTTAATTTTGAGACAGGGTCTTGCTAAGTTGCAGAGGCTGTACTTGACTTTCTATCCTCCTGCCTCAGCCTCCTGGGTGGCTGAAATTACAGGCATGTGCCACCACATCCAGCTTTGCAATAATTGTTTTGAATCATTCTTGACTCTTTCCTACCTAGTTCTTCCAGAAAGTTTGAAATTTGGGAATCTGAGGGCATCCCAAGAATGTTGTACAGAGCCCTGTGAAGTTCTTTTGTTTGTAACCTCCTGCCTCCTTTCTTGTTCTCTTTTCACCAGGATTACTACTACAGATTGAGACTGATACTGTTTACATGAAGTAAAAGAGGGAAAGAGAGTTAAACTGGGATGTCTGGAGTTTGGATCAGAAACCTGTTGAGTCAAAGGAGGAACTTAGCAGCAAAATGGAATGGAAATCATTTCCTAAGAAAGTAGACAAGTATGCAGGAAACACCTCTGCACCCCAAAGATAGGCACAGCTGCCACACAGTGACTATTAAAGGGAGGTTCAAAGTCATAAGTAAACAGCTGATTCTCTTGGTTCTTGGGCTGTTGCTGTTGGTGACAGGAAATCTTGTTCCCCAAGCTGCTGGCTTCCTGTTTTATTTTTACTTGTAGCAGATCAGAATGTCCATAACAAGGAGCAGTCTGTTCCAAAGGGTTCTACTCCCTTTTTGAGCCTGAAGGGCTAAAGGATCTTTTTTTTTTTTTTTTTGGTCAGATAATATGTTGGTTTGCTTTTAGGATCTGTGATGGTTAGTTTGGTTTAAGCATTTTGTATCCACAATCAACATTTTTGGTGATGAGCTGGTGTTTTAAAATTTGATGTAAGTAAACCTCTATTTTGTTTTTTTAAAGAGGTGTTATAATATTGGGGGCTAGCATATGTTACCTTTTCATTTGGAGTGACTTTCCCTTGCATTAAAACCATTTGGCCCTTTTGATTTAGATTTGTAAGATAGAGAAATAGTTCCAGACCGGTGTGCTTTGACTGTTGTCATATTCACTGTGTTGAAATTGAAACCTTTTCCTAAACTTATAAAAATAGGAATCTGGTAATCTAAAACAATAGCTCAGCATGAGCCTGCTGAGGGATTTCCTAGGGAAAGGGGCTCAGCTGACTGGCCAAGAAACAGTAACTAAAAGTTTGCAGGGTCTGCTCTAGTCACTTCCTGCTGTTTCTAGAGCCCTTTGGCCCAGGTATATTGAACTGGATAGGAAAGAGAGGGGGAGGCTTTGGGTAGAAGAGAAAGGATCAGAGAATCTTATAGCATAGTTGGCTTAGCATCTGTTTGACATATTGAACATTTAAAACTATCCTTGATATTCTTTCATTCTTTCAATTTACAAACTAAACTTTACTGCTGTTAATAGATACTGGCAGCTAGCATTTAGTTGTACATTAACAGTCATTCACCTAAGAGGAACTGGAGAAGCTATGTCCTGATATATATCAATGGAATCACTGTTGGCAGCTTGAATTCATTCTGGAGATTATCAGATGACGGAATCTCTTTTTTGATTCATATAATTGGTGGCCTAGAATCTGATCTGTCTTGGTTATGGACACCCCAAGGATAGAATCCATACCATCCGATGTTTGCTGAAAGGACTGTTTTCTGACCATGTCTCCTTGCCTCTGGGTAATCTTGTTGGTTGAAACAGTAGTTGTAACTGTGTACCTCAGCCAGCAGTTACTAGTTCAAAATATATATATAAGTTTATCTGGTAAACTTACATAGCAAGTCTTCTAGTAGCAAGACCTTAAAAGAAATGGGAGGGGTAAAAGAGAAAAAGGTGGGGGGTAAAGATCTTTAAAAGCTGTTTTTAGATCAGAGCAAGACAGAAAGAAAGAAAGACACAGCCCTAGTGTGCCTGGAATTTGTGGTTGAGTAATACTTTCCTGTTATTTCTGTTTTAGGTTGTTTTTCATCATTCAGAACATTGCCTGAAGCAGGTCCACCATGCCGTTAGTAACGAGAAACATCGAGCCAAGGCACCTGTGCCGTCAGACGTTGCCTAGCGTTAGAAGCGAGCTGGAATGCATGACCAACATCACCCTGGCAAATGTCATCCGACAGCTGGGCAGCCTGAGTGAGTGCCTCCGAGAGCCTGTGCTTTGCCCTCAGGGGTCGTTGGTGCTCTTTATTTAGTTTCCTTCTCCTCCCATGTTCCTATTTCTCCCCCATCTGCCTTCCCTAGGTAATGTGAAATGTATTCCATCCCCCCCCCCCCCAAAGAGAGGCTCCTTTTTTGGTACAGATTCTTCCCCCCATCCTTTCTCCATCTACCACCACCCTCTAGGTTCCCTCCCCCTCCCCCTCCACCTGCTTCAAAAGAAATCTGTGGGAAGGGTAGCAGGAAGAGCTGCAGCAGAAACTGCAGATGGAATGACAGAGCAGAATTCTCTGTGTGTAAAGTGGGAGGTTCACAGAGCAGTGTCTTGGGTCGGGGAATGTGCCTCTAATTACAGGAGCTGTTCGATGTAGCCTGACTTTGTTGAAGCCTCAAATGTGCCAATAGCCTTTATCTATCCAACACCCTCCCCCACTTTCTTTCCAAAGAGGAGTAAAGCAAACATGTACTCAGAGAAATTCTGGCTGACTAGTCTACCCTGGTACACATTTAATTGTGCTGCAAGCCCCCAGGTCCAAGTTCAGGGTACAAATTACTTCTGCAGTCTCTAGGGTTTTGGGAGTTTTACAAGCTGTGTGAACATACAGTGACACAAATAGTAGCTGGAGCCATTCTTCTCTAGGAGGAAGATGGGGGTTAGCCCAGTCTGTTTTGGAGCTGAGGGAAAGCCAGTTCAATTACAATTTTGTTTTTTAATTGGTAAGAATGAATGAGACTGCCATGGGTGGGAGTACATGGGGTACATGCACGTGGTTTGGGTTTCATTCTGAATCAAGCTAACTTTATTTGCTTGAAGCCGAGGTATGGGAAGGGCAGATGCTTGGGTTGGCTCTGCATTTGTCTACTGCCACCCCAGGTCCCATAAGCACCTCTGTCAAAATGCCATTTTAGTGTGATATTCCTTAGCAAAGGCAACTTGGTGTGAATTATTTCAGATACTTGCCCTCCTGTCGCGTCACTGTCCTTAGTGAAGGGAGAGGAATATCAAGAAAGCCTGCATTCCCCCAGATAGTAATAGGTCCTGCCTTTAAAATAGGAGCCTGAGAAGATAGAGCTCTGTTACCAAATGATGTATGGAGTCTGAGATTCCTAAGCCTTCACCTAGCTCAGGGACCATCTCAATTGATCCAGGGCTTAGGGAAACCTGGATGGGGTGTCACAAAGAAATGAAACCCTGCCAGTGCCTGTCTTTTACAAAGGAACATTGACAGTAGCTCAACAGCAGTGCTGCTGACAAAGAAGCACATGAAAGCTGTAGAGAGCCTCACTGCTTCTTAAAAGCATCATTTCTGCTTCTGTCACCCTGAGAAGGCCAAATGGGTGGAAGTCAATCACATACTAGTTCGTTCTCCATAGGACAAAGAACATCCAGCTAATGATGCTTCTTATTCGCACTCAGCAGGAGTTATGCTCCCTCTAAGGTGTTTTTCCAGGATAGTGTTGATGGATGCCATTGAAGACCCTCCCACTTGTGATCAGACCACACCTATGTTGAGGAAGCCCATCTAAGGGACAAGGTTCTGTTTGTGCCTAAGGAAACAAGATTTCTAACTGACCCTTTATTCATCCAGTTAATGCTGGGTTTCAGTTCTTGCGATTAAAAGGCTCAGGGGTTACTCCAGTTAAACTGGGCTAACTAGGCTGCACAAAATAACCACATAAGAGACACAAATACCTTTTTCTTTGGGGTCGCTGTGACGACTCCTTTGACGTTAAGGGTCCACAGAAAAAGTGAGCGAGAGCATGCGCTGACCCCTTTTATTGAGGAGAAGCTGTTCAAATGAGGCAAGGGGTCAGGTTTCAGGGGGCTGAGTCTATCTTCATGATGTCCACTGTCAGCAGGTTGACTGACACCTGGGTAGGCCACATCCAAGGGCACAGTAAGAGAAGGGGACACACACAAGGCACTTCCATGGAAGATTCTATCCTAAACAGGGCAAGGGGTTATATTACAAAGGAACAGGTGAGCATAGCTTCACCCATGGGGCTGTAGCAAGACACACGAGACACTGACCCTCGAACCCAAGAAGGGTGGGGAAAGCTCTGCCACATTTCTGTGACTGAGCGCCTCAGCACCCAGCCAGGGAGTGTGACTCAGTCACGTGTAAGGTTGGTCTCCCACATGTAAACATGTATTGTATATATTTTGTGTGCTGGATGCTGAGAAGATACAGTGATAAGAAATGGTCTCTGGGCTGGGGATGTGGCTCAAGAGGTAGCACACCCGCCTGGCATGCGTGCCGGGGCGCTGGGTTCGATCCTCAGTAACACATAAAAATAAAATAAAGATGTTGTGTCCATCGAAAACTAAAAAATAAATATTAAAAAATTTTTCTCTCTCTCTCTCTCTCAAAAAAAAAAATAAAAGAAAGAAAGAAAAAGAAATGGTCTCTGCCTTCCAGGAGTTCATATCTACCAGCAGAAATGGAAATAAGTAATTCTTCAGGGGATCATGAGGAGAAGGAGAGAAAGGAACTCAAATTTCTTGATTGTCTACTTTTGCCAGTTTTTTATTTTTTAATATATATTTTTTAGTTGTAGATAGACAAAATATGTTTATTTATTTATTTATTTTTATGTGGTCCTGAGGCTTGAACCCAGTGCTTCACACATGCTAAGCAAGTGCTCTACCACTGAGCTACAACTCCAGCCCCTGCTTTTGCCAGGATCTTGATATAATCTCATTTAATCTTTTCAATAGTTCTATAAGGGTAGAAAGTTCTGGTCTCCTTTTTCAGATGAAGAAATAAAAGCTCCAAAAAGTACAGTAACTTCTTTAAAGAGACACAGCCAGTAAGAGGCAAAATCAATATTTACTTATTTTTTGGTGTTAGGGATAGAACCCAGGGCCTTGTGTATGCTAAGCATTCACTGTACCACTGAGCTACACTCTCGGCCTCAAAAGTCAATATTTAAACTTAGACTTCTTAAGAATTTCTTTGCTCAGTCCTTTACTGTGTCTTTGGCAACAGTGCTATAGTTCAGACCTTCATTGACTTTGACCTAAACTATCGATGTAGTTTACTTTTGGCCTCCTTTTTAACCCCCTTTTATCTGTTCCTTATATTTCTGCCAGAGTGATCTACCTAAAATGCAGTTTTTACTCCTTCCTTCCTTCCTTCCTTCCTCCCTCCCTCCCTCCCTCCCTCCCTTCCCTCCCTCCCCTCCCTCCCTCCCTCCCTCCCTTCCTTCCTTCCCTTCCTTCCCTTTCTTTCATACTAAAGATTGAACCCAGGAGTGCTGAGCACATCCCCAGCCCTTTTTTTTTTTTTAAGACAGGGCCTCACTAAGTTGCTCAGAGCCTCGATAAGTTACTGGGGCTGGCTTTGAACTCGCTATCCTCCTGCCTCAGCCTCTGAGCTGCTGGGATTATAGGCATGTAACATCATTTCCAGCCAGTTCTCACTTTTTACTTTTATAATTCTGAACTTTTGATTTGAGGAGGGTACAGGGAATGAACTGAGGGGTGCTTTACCAACTGAACTACATTCTCTCTTTTTTTTTCCCCACAGAGGGTCTTGCTAAATTGCTAAGGCTGGCCTTCAACTTGATTGAGATCCTCCTACCTCAGCCTCCCAAGTCACTGGGTTATAGGCGTGTGCCACCATGCCCAGCTAATACAAATCTTAACCATTTATCTCGGTCTTCACTATGGAATAATCTAACTTCCTTGGCCTAGCATTTAAGATTCTCTTTTAAGACCTGTCTTCCTTTCTAGTCCCATTTTCTACAATTTGTCATCCCCTATTTTACAGTCTTTACATTTTACAATCTTTTAAATTCATATTTCCATGCTGTGCTGTTGCTGGACAGCCCTTAGCCTCTTTTTCTTCCCGGTTTCATGGAGCTGATCCTTCAAGGCCAGATCAGGAATCTCCTTCAGATTGGGATAAGTGCTCCTCTGAGTTCCCATTACATGTCTGTATTATTACCTGCCACATTATATTGCAAATCAACTGTCTTTTATGCTAAATTAAAAGTTCTTTGAAAGCAGAAATCCTGTTGTTTGTCCTTGAACTTCTGTGTCGACCTTATACAGTACCTGGCACCCAGTAGAAGTTGTTCATTAAATGTTGAATGATTCATGTCTGTATGTTCCCCACGATTCAGTGCTGTTGGTATACAGAGAATACAGGGGAGGAAGAAATCCTCTCTATGAGAAGTGGGAGTACAGGTGGGGAAAGGAAGGCTTCTTAGAAGAGGTTACATTTAAAGTGGGCTTAGGATTTCATCCAGCAGAGAGGGGCTCAGAGACAGACTCTGATTTTGTCCTCATGCATTGTACGTTAGCCAGAACTGGTTCTTCTGATAGTGAAACTCTGGTTATGGAATAGATAAAGCAAAAACTGAAAATCCTGGGCTGGGAATGTGGCTCAGTGTTAGAACCCTTGCCTGGCATGTGCAAGGCCCTGAATTTGATCCCTAACACACATATATATGAAAAGAAACTAAAAATTCCTCTGGACATAGTAGCACATGCCTGTAATCCCAGCTACTTGGGAGGCTGAGTCAGGAGGATCATGAGTTAGAAGCCAACCTGGGCAATTTAGTGAGACCCTGTCTCAAAATAATATGAAAAAGCCTGGGGATGTAACTCAGTGGTAGAGCATTGCCTAGCATGTGTCTTGGGTTTAATCCCCTGTACTGGGAAGGGATTGGGGGACTTTAAAAGTCCAGAGCCATAGATTTCTTCATGATAGCACATTTAGAATTCTTATTTTCCTTCAGTATGGTGAGATTGCATTCACGTTTTAGCTTGCCATGTTTTAGAAACTAAATGCACAGTCAGCCATTCAGCACTTTGGATTGGTATTGTGGCTATTTAGGAGACTGGAACCCCTACTTGGGTCATTAGGGAATCATGCTCTGATACTGGGTTTTCTCACTGGTGGCATTCAGGAGCTTTAGGACTCCCACTCAGACTTCAATAAGAGCAGCTGCACATTTTTAAAAATTGGTTTTACCTGTTGTACTTCCACGTAACATTTTGTTTGAAGAGTTCTGCTAAAGGGGGAAAAAAAAAAAAAACTATCAAACTACTCTGAAATCTTTTGTAAAATGTCCCATCAGGACATTCTGTTAAGGATGTTGTGGTGGGTCTTGGGTCTGTGTTGGTAGTCTGAATGGGCCATTGAGTCTCCAACTGGAATTATGTTTCAAATTTCCTCCATGTTTAAAACAGGATATTTAGATTTGGGTGGGGTGGGTACCAGGGATTGAACTTGGGCTCTGAACCACTGGCCACATCCGCAGACCTGTTTGGTATTTTATTTAAAGACAGTATCTCACTGAGTTGCTTAGCACCTTCCCATTGCTGAGGCTAGATTTGAACTCAAGATCTTCCTGCCTCTGCCTCCTGAACTGCTGGGATTACAGGCATTTGCCACAGTGCCCAGCTGATATTTTATTTATTTAAAAAAAAAAAACTCGTTTTTTATTTTTCATTTTGAGTCGGGATCTCTCTAAGTTGTTTGGGGCCTTGTTATGTTGCTGAGTCTGGCTTTGAACCTGTGATCCTCCTGCCTCAACCTCCAAAACCACTGGGATTAAAGTCATGTGCCTCTGCACCCAGTTTAAGGATTATTCTTAACACAGAAGTCGAAAAAACTCATTTAAAACTGAGGTAGTGTCACTCCTCTTCATAAAAACCTCTAGCAATTACCCATTTTAGTTCTAATAAAATTAAAATTCCTAAAAATGCACTGCAAGGCTCCTGGTGACTTGGGGCCTCTCTAACTTCCTCTCCTCCTACACTAGTCCTTTCTCAGTGGGCATCAGGCACACTGGACTCATCACTAGGCAAAACCTTGTCCTAGGTACTTTGCCTTGCTATTACTTCTTTTAAAACCTCTTTCAGATCCCACCTCAGCGGAGCATGCTCTGAAGTTGTCTAAAATCGCAATATGCCTTTCTTCCCCCTTAACTTTTGTTCCCTCTACCCTGACCATCTCTTTTTCAAACAGCTGTACTGAAGTATAATTGCAAAATAACCACTGTATTTAGCATGTGTAATTTGTAAGTTTTGACAAATTTATTTATTTATTTATTTTATTATTATTATTTTTTTAAATGATATTTGCTCATTTAATTTTTTTTTTTGTACTGAGGATTAAATTCAGTGGGTGCTTACCATGGAGCTACACCCGCAGTTTTTTTTTTTTTTTTTTAAAGAGAGAATTTATTAATATTTATTTTTTAGTTCTTGGAGGACACAACATCTTTGTACATGGTGCTGAGGATCGAACCCGGGCCTCACGCATGCCAGGCAAGCGCGCTACCGCTTGAGCCACATCCCCAGCCCTTTTTTTTTTTTTTTAAATTTATTTATTTTTAGTTCTCGGCGGACACAACATCTTTGTTGGTATGTGGTGCTGAGTATCGAACCCGGGCCGCACGCATGCCAGGCGAGCGCGCTACCGCTTGAGCCACATCCCCAACCCTTGACAAATTTATAACCTCTGAAACTATCATCATAATCAATAAAACAAGTATTGTCACCAATAGGAAAAAAAAAAAAGGCTTCACTATCACTGCCCATGCTGGTCTTCAACTTGTGAGCTGCCTCAGCATCTTAAGAAGTTGGGTCTGCAGGCATGTACTCTATTGCTGGCTTAGATGATTACCCTCTTTAAAGTCCTCTAACCTGGGCTGGGGTTGTAGCTCAGTGGTAGAGCGCTTGCCTAGCATGTGTGAGGCACTGGGTTCGATCCTCAGCACCATGTAAAAATAAATAAATCAAATGTATTGTGTTCATCTACAACTAAAAAAAAAAAAAAAGTTTTCTAGGGGATGGGGTTGTGGCTCAGTGGCAGAACACTTGCCTAGCTTGTGTGAGGCACTGAGTTCGATCCTCAGCACCACATATAAATAAATAAAAAATAAAGGTGCATCAACAACTAAAACATTAAAAAAAAAAAGTCCTCTAACATGGCTTAGCAATCTAAAGAATCTCTTTATAACAACTTAGAATTTTAGCTCATTTAATCCTTACGGTAACTTTTAGCTCATTTAATCCTTACGATAATAACTACATTTACTTATAGTAAATGTAGTTATTATCCCCAGTTTATAGATGAGACTAAGGCTGAGAGACTGTGACTTGCAAAGGAGTACACAGGTACAAATAGAGCTGAGACATAAACTCAGGTCTTCTAACTTGAAGTCTGCGTTTTTGTCCTATAGTACAGTTCTGAGTTTGTCAAGGTCCTGAACTGATGTGACAGTGGGAAAACATTTACCCTACCTCATCTCATTCCTCTTAAAAAAGAGATCTCGTGTTACCAGTTCTTTACATTAGGGGTTTTCTGTCTGTAAGCTTCTAAACACACTTTCTTTTCCTTTTTTTTTGGTACTAGGGATTGAACCCAGGGGTGCTTTAGCTTGAAACTACATTCCCAGTTCTTTTTATTGTATTTGAAACAGGATTTTGCCCTGAACTTGTGATCCTTCTGCATCAGTTTCCTGAGTCATTGGAACTACTGGCACATACCACTGTTCTAGTGCAAACACAGTTTCCTTCCTTCTTTCTGTCCTTCCTTCCTTCTGTACTGGGGATTGAACCCAGGTGCTTAATCACTGAGCCACATCTCTAGCCCTTTTTATTTTTTATTTTGAGATAGGGTCTCTCCAAATTGCTGAGGGCCTCATTAGTTGCTTAGGCTAGCTTCAAACTTGAATCCTTTCTGCCCCAACCTCCTGAGTCACTGGGATTACAGGTGTGTGCCATTGCAGCCAGCTCCAAACTCAATTTTCTGTTACCTGGTAGAGCATGATATAGAATCATTTGTGTAGGAACATAGTCATGTTATGGACAGGAGCAAATAGGATCCTCCACTTGCAGAGTAGAAATGTGGTTTGTTAACCAATTTGACTCCTTTGAGCTCAGGAGCTTTTCATAGTGTTTAAAATCACGGGACTATTCAGTATGCAAGGCCTTGCTCCTTCCCAGATTAGAAACTCCTTATTGACTTAAATTTACTAGCAATTCGAAATAAGCTGTTGATTTATCTTATCCTTACTTTGCAGGTTATACTGGAAAGGTAAGCTGCACTCCACTCTAAAGGTGCAGTTTTTGCCTTTCAGACTAATCCCCCCACCCACCCCAATAAGGACTAAGCATTAATGTAGTTTAGAAGCTAAACATGACAGCCTACTTTAAATAGTTCTCAAAAAAATTATCTTTGGATTGGGCATAGTCATTTATGCCTGCCTTCACCTTGCAAGTAAGAAACTCAGATGGTATATTTATTCATATGTACTACTTCTCATTCCTAGTAAGAATGTGGCCTTGTGGTTTGGAATGACAATATGGAAATAGTGTCAAATTGCTGTTATGTTTCTTTGGCTGCAAATTCTCCTTGCATTCCAGGGTTGAAAATACAGAACTCTTTTCTTTTTCTAAAAAACAAAACATTGTAGAAAGAGTCCACTGGTATGTTGTTTTTCAGGGAGGGTTGAAAGCTTCAGCTTTACACTTGTTTCCTGAGATGTAGTGGTTTTGGTGGTAGTGGTTGTTGTTTGGTGTGTGGGTATGTGTGTGTGTGTGTGTGATTGGAGTTTTAATCCAGGGGCACTTTACCACGATCATCTTTTTTTTTTTGAGAGAGAGAGAGAGAGAGAGAGGGTCTCACTAAGTTGCTGAGGCTAACTTCAAACTTGCAGTCCTCCTGCCTCAGCCTCCTGAGTTGTTGGGATTACAGGTGTGTACCACTGTACATGGCCTGAGATATAGATTTGAAGGGTTTTAACCTACAGCAGAGACTTTGAAAGTTGCAGGTTATAGAACCTAAAGTAACCTTTTCACCCCTTAGAAGAACTTATGTGTCTCTGTTGTAGGATGATGGTAAGTTCAAGGCCGCTTGGAGATAACACAAATCATCTTGGTTGTTCAGTGGATTTTTTTTTTTTTTTGTACTAGAGATTTAACCCAGAAGTCACATTCCCCAACCCTTTTTATTTTTTGAGACAGGGTCTCACTAAGTTGTTTAGGGTCTTGCTAAGTTGCTGAGGCTGGTTTTGAACCTGTGATCCTCCTGCTGCTGCTTCCTGAGTTGCTAGGATTACATGCATGTGCCACCATACCTAGCTGTTCAATGAACTTTTGAAGCTCCAGTGAGAAAGTAATTTATTATTTATCATATTAATTGTGGGCACCTTATAGGTTCTCTTAATTCCCAATCTGTTTTTTTTTTTTTTAAATATTTTTTAGTTGTAGATAGACACAATACCTTTTTTTATTTTTATGTGGTGCTGGGGATCAAACCCAGTGCCTCACACATGCTAGGCAAGCACTCTACCACTGAGCCACAACCCCAACCCCTCCCAATCTGTTTTTTGGAACAAGTTGCTTTACAGATAGCAAGGGGCTGAGTGCTACAGATAAATGTGTAGACATATTGTCTTTCAGGATTAATTTTTGCATTACACCTATTGATTTTATTCAGCCTGCTTTGAGTGTCATTACCGTTCAGAGAGTTTGCTAAGAAGGCTCTATTAGTTATAAAGCATATTCAGACCGCCCAAACTATGGAGACTATATCTCTAGGTCTAAGGGGAAGCATATGTATGTGTGTATGTGTTAGAGGAGTGGGGAATACAATTTTTAGTAGGCAGGTTTTGTGTCCATTTATGACATTCCTAAGCACTAGTGACTTGGTTCCTTTGGTCTTTACAGGTAAATACGCAGAGGACATTTTTGGAGAGCTCTTTACTCAGGCAAATACCTTTGCCTCTCGAGTAAGCACCCTTGCTGAGAGGGTTGACCGACTACAAGTTAAAGTCACTCAGCTGGATCCCAAAGAAGAAGAAGGTAAGGAAGCTGAGCTCAGCATTTACAGGCTCTTGTGAGCAGTTTCTTAGAATTTCTTCTCCTGATTTATAAAAAAGCAAGGAGAAAAATCAGAGATCTATGGAGATATGTTTTGAAATGACATAAACCTGGGAGGTGTAAAGAAACCTTTTTAGTCCTACCACATACTTCCTTTCTCCACATACTTCCCCATATACTTCCTTTCTCCCATTCCCCCAATTCCTTCATTCTCAAATTTCCTTTCATATTTTGCTACCATTAAAGTACTTGGAAGATTCATTCCACCTAAAAAGAGAGTCTGCTAGATTTGGCTACATAGTAAACCTCTATGTTGCCTCATTTTGTTCAGTCGTGAAATGGCTGGGCTGCTGACAGTCTTGTGGGGCTTCCCCAGAGGAGGAAGGGAAAAAAAAACCTGGCTGCAGACAGCTGCAGCCAAGAAATGCAGCAGCTGAGGCCTCTCTGACTGGTGTGACTCAATGTTTGTTCAAATAGCCTGTCGTCCATTTTCTAACGCCTTCCATCTTCTCTCAGTGTCACTACAAGGAATCAACACCCGAAAGGCTTTCAGAAGCTCTACCATTCAAGACCAGAAGCTTTTTGACAGAAATTCTCTCCCAGTGCCTGTCTTGGAAACATACAATACCTGTGATACTCCGCCCCCTCTCAACAATCTCACCCCTTACAGGTAACAACTGCCTAGCCTTTCCTTTTTTTGGTCTATAGTTAACAACACTAGATTGTCTAAAATATCTGAAGATGTTGTTACATCAGGGGATTTTACCAAAAGCTTACTACCTACACAGGAGTTGCTTGAGCAACAGAAGCTAAAGAGCCTTAAAAGCTGTTGTCACTTACTATTGTTTGGTTTCTGAAATTCATACTGAATATAATACATATTGAAAGTTTGGTGTAACATTGCATGCTGCAGAGTTTAATTTGGTGTAAGCTAGGTTCATCTTGGGTTTCATCCAAGGAATTTAGTTATTATAGAACCAAAAGGACTTTGTTACAAGGCGGTCCTACAGCATGGATCCCAGGGGCAACCTTCTAGAAAGGCTCCCACACTTATTTGGAAACCACTAGATTACCAGATGTTTGGGTGTGTTCATGGAGCCAGCTTCATGAACTGGCTGCTCTGGGCCCAGAGTGGTCCTTCCAAAGCTTAAGGAGTAATTGGCATTCTTCCAAGTTATTGTCATTCACTTTGTTTTGAACATTCTTTCTGTATTTCTTCTGCAAGGACCTACCCTTCTGTGGCTGGACTTGAAAAAGAAGGTAGCCTTAAAGACAATTTAAAAGCACCTCCTTTCCACTAGTGGTTTGGTAGTACAAAACCTCTGAATGGGGCAGAAAGTGAATATTTATCTTGCTTGTATCCTTAAATATCTTTGGAACAGGTAAAAAGTAATTACAGATAGCTGGAGGCAGATGTTTTCTTTATTTTATTTTTATGTGGTGCTGAGAATCGAACCCAGGGCCTCACACGAGCTAGCTGAGCACTCTACCGCTGAGTCACAACTCCAGTCCCTGGAGGCAGATGTTTTCTATCAGACATGAATACACTGCAAAGCAGTGTGTGTGTGTGTGTGTGTGTGTGTGTGTGTGTGTCCCTCCCTGTGAAATTCAAGGATATCATTCCGATTCAGGGACCATGGAATGGGAACTTGGTAGTTTCTCACACAGAGAAAGTACAAAGCATCCACCCTTTTTTATTACTGTATGAAATTATGCTTGCCCCTTGGCTTTTAAAGGGACTAGTAAACATAGCAGGCCAGAACTTTGACTTAATAGTCTCCACCCTGTAGTCTAGTTGGCTGTGGGCAGAGAAGTATGGGGCAGAAAGGGGTCACACACCTGATAACATTATGGGGAATGTTATACAGGTGATTTGTGTGGTAAGATAGTTTTATTGTTCAGATAATTTTATTTTTCAGGGAATGGTATTTTCTTTGTAAACATACAATATCAGAATTAGCATCTCCTTATTTTTCTGGACTTGACCTAAGAGAAACAACAGTAGGATATCCAACTCTGAACAAGATTTAATATGAAAATTATTAGTGTTTGATTTGGAAACATTTTCTCTGTGTTGTGATAGGATTGGAAGGTAGAAAATAAAGTTGCCTTTACAATACTTTTTTGTTCAGAATAATGTTAAAAATTGTTCACCCTGAAGCACGTGCTTTCTGGACAGTGAGGGGCTTAGCCATGCCAAAGTGATTATTAAGTCTGGCAGATGGCACCTTATATTGACATTCAATAGCTCACTATGTAGCACTGTCATAGTCATTAAGAGATGGTGAGTAAACCTTGTAGTCTTAAAACTGCTGGCCATCTGTTCTCATTGAGGCCCCCTTGTGGTGGGGTGAGGGTGGATGCTGCACTATTGTAGAAGGAAGCAAAAAGGTGCAGTGCAGTGCAGTGGTTATCTGTGTATAGAGAAATAACAGCTGTATACACATACATACATTTGTTTATATTTGTGTATACATGTAAACCTGTATATGAGTGTACAGGTTTCAGGTGGGTTGAAGGCCACTGAAGAGTCCTGGGGAATTGGTGGGGAAAGAGGAAACAGTAACAGAAATCCCCTTGGATGTGCCAGCATATCCAGATGTCCTCAGGGAGCTGTCTGTGGCCATGCAGATCATTGAAAATGATCAGAATCTCTGCTGCTGTAGTTTATTCTTGCCCTAACCATGCCAATTCCTCTATCAGGAATTGAAAGTAATGAGAAAGTTCTTAAGAAGTAGAGAGGTGCCATTCAGGGGCATTGAAATGCAGGTAAGGAGAGGAAATATGCAATCGATTTGAATGACTACTTGATTCCTTGGTGTAAAAACTGCTAACTGGTAGGTGTTTGGAATATTGGATTTGGTTGGGAGCTCATCTGTCTACTGACAGCTACTTGTCTTCATTTCTATCCCAGGGATGATGGAAAAGAGGCACTCAAATTCTACACCGACCCTTCATACTTCTTTGATCTTTGGAAGGAGAAGATGCTGCAGGACACCAAGGATATCATGAAAGAGAAGAGAAAGCATAGGGTGAGGGGAAAGGGGCCTCTGTTCTACACATCAGTAGGCACGATTGTGGAGGGGGGATAAAAAGGAAGCCAGTCTTATGTGAAGTAATTCCGAATGGCTGCTTGCTTGGATGCCAGGTGAAACTCTTAAAAAAAATGTGTCCACACCAAGCACCACCAAGATGAAAGTATAAATCACACCAAAAATGTGTTTGTTCCCCCTGGTGCTATTAACAATTGAGTATATTCAGGCTGAGTTTTAGAAATTGACTTTTCTATTCACCATTTATTTCTCTTGCAATTTGCACCTGACTCTGCTGGACACTTGAGCTAGGCTAGTCCCTTCCCCGCCAGTTTTGCAGCTCATTTCTCAGAGACTAGCACAGGTTCTGCAGTGTTTGATTTGCAACAGGAGCAGTTTAACACCTTCATTCCTGCTTGGTTAGCACCAGGGGAGTGGATATGTCTGGTTTGTGGATATGCCCCTTTCTCCTAGGCTCCTGGTGCTATGTGTGTGACCTACCAGTTTTGACCTCACAATTCCATTAGCATGGCTGCCAGCAGGCCCAAGAGAATACCATAGGCTAGTCCAGCTTCACAGGATGGAAAATTCTTCCATGGTTTTTGTTTTGTTTTGTCTTTTAAATATTTCCTTATATCTGTCCCAGATATCTGCAGCTGTCATTCCTTCTCATCTCTCTTAACTGTTCTTTGTGGCAGAGCAAGTAACAAATGACTGGTTACTAACTTCCTAACAATTAGAGCTTTTCAAAGACATGAAAGAGTTACTCAGCGAGGTAGTAGTCTTCCCATTGCTAGAGGTGTTTAAATGTGGGACTGAGCAAGTGTTTTGCCTAGAAGGTGGTTTGAATTAGACGACCTCTAGGTCACCCCAGACCTAGTAATTCTATAAATTCTGCTCTTATCATATGTTGTTGTCTAGATAAATCATCTCTTAAATATACATCTTTGAAGATGGGTGGAATTTTAATGAAGACTTTGGAAAATAGTTCCCAAAGATTTTTGTTGTTGTTCCTTTTCATTATAGAAAGAAAAGAAAGATAATCCAAATCGAGGGAATGTAAACCCACGTAAAATCAAGACACGTAAAGAAGAATGGGAGAAAATGAAGATGGGACAAGAATTTGTGGAGTCCAAAGAAAAGCTGGGGCCTTCTGGGTAAGTGAAGCATTCTTTGAAGGATCTGGGGACCTGGGGACAATAGTCTGACAGCTCTGGCATGACACCTTTTACACCCCCTGAAATCTGGCTTTGTTGTTTTGATCAATACCGCTATTAATCAGCTACTTTTAAGTGCATCCATCTGGTGATTAAAATTTGCTAAATAAATCAAAGAGACTCAGCAATTTAAATGAGGTAACTGGAGTGGTCTGGTAAAGAAGGCCCATGGCTTCTAGTGCCCCTACTCTGCCAGACACTAGTATGTCTGAGGGTCTCAGAGGAAAAATTGGAAGGGGAAGAAAAGTGGTCTTGGGAGCCTTCTGCTTCCAGAGCATGGATTTGAAGGTCATACCTAAGAGCCAAGCATTTTGAGGGAGTGAGGAAGGCCAGGCAAAGAAATTGTACACATCACCAGAGCAACTTTTCAGCCAGCTTTTGTCAGTCTTAGAGAGAAGCTAGCCAAGGAGTTGAATGCAGATTTCAGAGTCAGTGTGGGAAAGGTTGCTTGGCCACTGTGGAGGCTATATATCTCTGTGGAGAAATGGGAGATGTCAGTCTGACCCCATTTCCCAATACCAAATCACATTGGAAGTTTAAAGGGGAAAAAATGGTGTTTAAACTTGGTTTGATGTTCTTATCCTGTTGTCTGACCTATATGACATTCAAAGCCAAGTCACCAGGACTGTTTGGCATGAATGTTGCTCTGGTTTTTCCTCTAAATACATTGTATCCGGGTTGTCAGAGAACCATGCCAGCCCATGCAGGGTGTCTAGGATTGATAAAAGGAAAGAGTTAAGTTGTTCTTGCTTTTAGAAATAACTCTACCATGAAAATCTTGACTTTTAAAAATCTTGACACTTCTGACACTTGTTCTTCCTGGATTAAGAGATTTGTTTTAAAGAGTGATGAAGATAGTGAGAAGAAAGGTGAACCTTTCTTTCTTTCTTTCAGCCCTGAGGGTGTCTTCATTACCTTCACCTCCCAATAAAAGGGGCTGTTTTGTTCTGTGGTCCCATCCTCTTCAGACAGGCATTTATCATAGGTTCAGTGACTTTAAGGCCAGAAGCTTATATGTTCATAATGTCAGCTATTATGTATGTCTTTTTTTGTGGGATGGGGGTGGTGAATATGAGGAGTTTGCCTCTCATTTTCTCATTGTCCAGGAGTTTGGAGTTGGGCTGCTGGCTAGTCTATCTGGACATGCTTGTTGGTGAACCTATCAAGAGATGTGCCCAGCCTACACAGCTCCAGGCTTTGGGGATTTTCCACATCAGAGCATCATTTGATTCAGTTAGTTCCCTCCAATTCTGTTCTCCCTGGGATCTGTTTTTGATGAGGTCTTTAGAACCCAACAATGGTGGAAAGAAGGGGGAAGTGGGCAGAGCAGAACAGATTTTGCTAGCTGACACTTGGTATATTTGTGCTTGTATGGAAACTTATTGCTTGGTGTATTTATGCTTTTTTTGAAGTTTTGATGTTGTTCACCCAGAGCAAATTCCCCCAAGGCCAAGTTCTCGGAGGCAGATTTTCATGAGGCAAGCTCTAACACCCTACTTTTAATCGGCAGCTCATTTTGTTTGATAAGAGACCTGGCAGAGAGATCTCATTTACTACCACACAGCAACCTGCATTCAGCCTTGGCTTGATTTTGCAATCAAATGCCTCCTTGGCCTTTGAGTACTCTAGAGGCTTGTCGACCTCAAAATCAGGCTGCATGCCAGTCACATGTTTGTAGCTCACTGGCCTGTAGGCTTGCCTTCACTCCTTGCACAAGTCTGGCTTTGGGATTCAGGTTTGGTTGCACCTAACACTCAGAAGAGAATGTAAAAGATTGGGGTTTGACAAAGCTGGCACTGGGAAAGAAACAACAGGGTTTTGGTAATCTGGATTGAATCCTGTTATTACAAACAGTCCATCAGAAATGACTGGGATATACAATATTTAGTCCTTAAATAAAATTTCAGGAAAATCTGCTTATTTCTCCCTAATAGCTTTTGTATCAAATGCATTTTGTGGACTTTTTTAAGAAAATACCACTCAGGCTCTTTAAATGATAGTTTTTGGCATTGGGTTTATTGTCAGGTATTCACCCGCCTTAGTGTACCAGAATGGCAGCATTGGCTCTATTGAAAATGTGGATGTAGGCAACTATCCACCACCACCACAGTCAGACTCCGCCTCTTCACCTTCACCTTCTTTCTCTGAGGAGAACTTGCCTCCCCCACCAGCAGAATTCAGGTAAATGGTGGAACCTCTCCCCTCTAAGAACATCCAAAAACAAAATAAAAGTTCAAAATCTGGGCCAGGACTACTAAAATAAGTTCAGGCAAGACAGCCTGTATAATAGAAGTAGTTATCATTTATCAGATGTTTGCAAGGTGCTAGGCATTGTGCTACACACCATTTATGTTGCTTAATGCCCACAAGAGTCCTTTTGAGTTAGGCACTCTTATTCCCATGTTACAGATGAGTAAAATGTAAGGCAGACAATGAATTTCCCTAAAGTCACACAGCCAAAAAGAGAGAGAGCCACAATTGACCACTCTAATTCCCAAGACTGTGTTCTTAACTATTCAATATTCTGTCTATACCTGAACAAATAGAAGTCACCAATTGTTCTTGTTTTTTTCACTTAGCTTTAACTCAGTCTGAAATGTTGTGTTACAATCTGCTGGCCATAAAGTACTTATCAGACACTTTGCCCACAATCTAGGAACCTTGCAAATAGTTACTTCCCTCTCCTATTACCTCTGGTTCATTTCGCTGCTGGGTAGACTCCAGAAAGAATGAAGCTAAGGGAAAGGGGGTAAAACTTAGACTCTGTCCATTTTGATATTTGTCAGTGTCCCTGGCAGAGGGGTACAGAGGAAAAGATTGCTTATAATGGCTGAAAAGAGACCTGAGAAATTTTTGGATTACACTGTTTTCTCAGTTACTTTTTGTCTTTCTGATGTCTGACAAATGAAAGCTTTGAAAAATGCACTTTACTCCCTGGACACTGTTTAATTAGTAACTGAATATGTTGAGGCCCCCTCAAATGGAGACTTAAAGTACAGATGCCCACTTGTCCTCTCCCCTGTTCTTCTTGGCCCTTGAAACCACTAATCCCAAATCTTCCGCCTCCCAGATCACTTCCTGCTGGTTACCCTGTCAGATGCAGCTAAGGCTTGAAGGTCTGTGGAAAATTCCAAGATGGATGCTTTCCTAAGGAGTAGCTATTAGTGCAGGGCAGATGCAAAGGTGTTAAAAGAAAACCCTCAGTCTCACACATGGCCTGAGACCTTGTAGCTACAACTGCACAAATCTGATCCCAGGAGAAGGGGAGGCTTAATCCTTTTTCAAACCTAGATCAAGAATTGGTGGCACACGCATTTCATGTCCCTTAGATCCTCAAATGGAGGCTCATTCTCAAGTGAAGATGCATGCACCTAAATCAGGTGCACCTGACTCAAGTTTGGTCAGCTCAAAATAGGTTTCCTGCCTTCATCAGATCTGGTGAATGTTAATAGCCTGAGACACAGCCCAGTGGGAGGATAGTATTTGAATTTTCATTCCAGTTCTTTCTTATGTGCATTCTTAGTCCTTTCTATTTGAGACACGATGAAATGTTAGAGTCAACCAAAAGGAGCCTAAGTTACAAGCCTACCTTTAGATGGGTGTTCACTTCCTGAGAGTGATGGTGGGTCTCTTTTCTTTGGCCTTATAGCTATCCAGCAGACAACCAAAGAGGATCTGGCTTGGCTGGACCCAAAAGATCCAGCGTGGTTAGCCCAAGCCATCCACCCCCAGCTCCTCCTCTGGGTTCTCCACCAGGCCCCAAACCTGGGTTTGCTCCACCACCTGCCCCTCCTCCTCCACCTCCAATGGGCATTCCACCTCCACCACCACCCATAGGATTTGGGTCTCCAGGGACCCCTCCACCACCTTCACCCCCATCTTTTCCACCTCACCCTGATTTTGCTGCCCCTCTACCTCCTCCCCTGCCACCTGCAGTGGACTACCCCACTCTGCCACCACCTCCCTTGTCCCAACCAGTAGGCGGTACGCCTCCCCCTCCCCCTCCCCCTCCCCCTCCAGGACCTCCACCTCTCCCTTTCAGTGGTGGGGATGGCCAGCCTGCCATACCACCACCGCCGCTTTCTGATGCCACCAAGCCCAAGTCCTCTTTGCCTGCTGTGAGTGATGCCCGTAGTGACCTGCTTTCTGCCATCCGTCAAGGTAAATCCCAGTGGGTGGGTTTGGGACCATGAAGCCTTGTTTTTCTGAAGCTGGGATGACTGATTAGGGTGATGGGGGAAAAGGGATCTGTGCCTTTTCCAGAGAATGGCTTTCATTGAGTTGTGGAGAGGTTGGAACTTCAGATCTCAGCAGACTGAAAAAAAGACTTCACACCCTGAAAATATGAGATTTCTTTCCACATTAGTCTAAAGTAAAGAATTCTTAACTTGGCATCTTGGATCTTCTTGAAAATGTATACTTTGCTGTGCAGGTAGTGAACACCTTTAATCCCAGCAACTTATCGAGGGCCCAAGCAACTTAACAAGATCCTGTCTCAAAATAAAAAAAAATGTGGCTCAGTGGTTAAGCCCCCCTGGGTTCAGTTCCTGGTACCAAAAAAGAAAATGTATGCTGTGTGTGTGTGTGTGTGTGTGTGTGTGCGCGCGCGCGCACCTATATTTTTTTCCCATTTAGAAAGTATCCCCATTTTTCCTCAGGTACCCAGGAAATATCAAGAGTCACAGTCCCAGAGAGCCCCTCTTTAGCTGCACTCTGTCACTCCCTGTGCTTTTCCATTGCTCCACCTTTTCTATACTCCCTCCCTCTGCCCTCTTTTCTTCTTTTTCTCCCTATTTCCACTTATCCCCTTTCCTTTTATCCCCTTGTATATTTTCTCCCTTTCCCTTCCTTTATTCTCCCCACCTCCTCTCTCTGTCATCATCTCATCAGCCTGGAGCATTTATTCTCTGCCAGTGGCCAGGTCTGGTCCCTAGGGGGTTGGAGTGGTTGGTTCTGTTTGTGATTCTCAAGGGACTTCTAGTATAGAGAAGACAGTCCAGAGCTGCTGAGCCCCATTAACGGTCATTGGACTTGGATAGCCCGAGTCCCACTCCAAGCCTTGTGAGAAAGTATCATCCTCAGCAGCCAGGAAAAATGCCATGCTTTAGACACACTTACAGTACCAGGATACTGATTTTTTTTTTTTTTTTTTTGGTACCAGAGATTGAACTCAGGGGTGCTTTTAATCACTGAGCCACATCCCCAGCCCTTTTATTTTTTATTTTGAGACAGGGTCTTGCTAAGTTGCTTATGGCTTTGCTGAATTGCTAAGGCTGGCCTTGAATTTTCAATCCTCCTGTCTCAGCCTCAGAGTCTTTAGGATTACAGGCATGTGCCACCATGCCCAGCAAGAACCCTCATTTCTTTTTTTTTTTTTTTTTTTTTTTGTGGTGCTGGGGATTGAACCCAGGGCCTTGTGCATGTGAGGCAAGCACTCTACCAACTGAGCTATATCCCCAGCCCCAAGAACCCTCATTTCTTAAAGCCCATCTTTCCTTCTCTTCCTGCCAACCTTTCCCAGAGGATCCTTCTTTTTCTCAATTCTGTACAGTTCTCCCACCACTAGTGGTCATTTCCCCTTAGGGCTAGATGGATTTTTTTTCCCCCCTCAGTTCTGGGAATCAAACCCAGGGCTTCACACATGATAGGCAAGTGTTCTACCACTGAGCTACATCCCTCAATCCAGGATACACCTTCTTAACCCTTCTCCCTCTCTATCACCAGGCTTTCAGCTACGCAGGGTTGAAGAACAGCGGGAGCAAGAGAAACGAGATGTTGTGGGCAATGATGTGGCCACCATCCTGTCACGTCGTATTGCTGTTGAGTACAGTGACTCGGAAGATGACTCCTCTGAATTTGATGAGGACGACTGGTCGGATTAACTCTTTCTGCCTGCCGCCCACCTCCTTTTCTTTCCTTCCTACCTTCCTTTTTTGATGCCTATCCCAATAGTCCTGTGGGAGGGGGGAGAAACAAAAGAATTTCAAGGGCCAAAGCCTTCCCTGAAGCAACCAAAGATATATCCAAGTGCTTCCTCCAAATCAACATGTATTTTCTCTCCCTATTGTCAAGAGCATGGGCTCCTGAGTTTCATAGCTAAGATGAGATGTTCCCTGGTTCCTTCAAGTGACTGTCGCATATTGAAAGGAAGGAAACCCCGCCCCAAGCAGATTTCTTTGATTGGATTTCAATGGAAAATGGCTCCTAGGGGAGAGTACCATTTTCAATTGAATTCCAACCATCTTCTGGTCCTAAAGTACTGAGAGCAGACTGTGGGGACACAGTTGTCCCCCTTTCCTGTGTCCTAAGAGGGCAGAGCAGTCTGAGTACCCAGAAGCCAGACCACCTCTTGCCTACTCCTGCTGTCTTCCCTAATCAGCAGGGTGGGGCTGCCTTTTATTCAGTGATCTTTTGACCTGGGATGTTTTTTATTCCAGGAGGTAACAGACCACTACAGAGTGTCTCATCCACTTTTCCCAGAAACAAGGTCTCTGAAGGCTGAGGCTGTTGTCTCCCTCCTAGACTCCCTCTTATCAAGTATGATGGTAAAGTGTCCTTCAAATACCCCTTCCTTGCCCTTAGGTGCCTTTAGGCTCTATAGCTCAGTTTTAACCTCTAATATCTATGACCAAACTAGCCCTGACACACAGGGACATGGGTGGGCTTCTGCTGACTGTCAGGAGCAAAGCTTAGAGACTTGGAACTACAGAACTAGAAGGATGGTAGGATTCCTTGGGTCTGCCCTCTTAAAGATGATGAGGCCTAGACAAGGGAAGTGACTTGCTCAAGGTCACACAGTTGGATAGTAATGGAGCAAGAGCCCAGACATCCTGATTCCAAGTCACCTGTGCTTTCTGGGACCAAATAATGGGCACCTGCTGGAGTCTGGGCAGAGCAGTCTTGGCTCTGTGCTGCTCCAGACCTCCCCATAGGCAGGGGTCCCAGTCGGAGGCTCGGTGCCTGTGCCAGCCCTGTCAGTGTTGCTCAGACCTTATAGCCTCTCTTGTAACCCTTTGTTGCCCCTTCCTATCATCAGCCAGCAACATGGCCTAGGAGCTGTGCTTCTGGGAAACCAGAGAGAAAAAGAAGAGGGCAGGCAGCTTTGACAGGTGCTGTTTTCAGTTTTACTGCAACTCCTCCCCCTTTTATTTCCCCAATTTAAGCATAGGTTCTACCAGCTGTAGAAACTTGAGTCCCTCAGGCTGGCAGCCGCCCCAGGTACCTGCCTTGGTGTGTGTGTGGGGGTGCCTAGCAGCCGTGAAGAGGGCTGAAGGGTGGAGGGACTCAGGGTCCTCCCTTACTGCACATGGTAATGTTCATTCCCCCACCCCCAGCCACTTCCCAGAGCTTATACACAGGTGCTATTATTTAGGAAAAAACTGGTCAGCTCTGGCCAACAGCAAGGTTTTTCTCTTCTGCCCCAACTATTGTGTGGCCTCTCATGCTGAAATCGGCTTCTCCAGCTTTCAGAGCCTGAAACAAAGAGAAAAAGGATCTGTCTCTACCCAGCACAGCAAATGGTTGTAGTAATTGCCAAAGCCCTCATAAACCCCTCCGGCTTGAGGAGAGTATAATCGTGGGCACTGCTGCCTGCCCTTGCTGAATACCTCCCTCTGCCTCCTTTCTTGAACTTAGGATGTGGGGAGAGCCTGCAAGTGCCAGAATATGCTTCTGCTGCAGCTACTCCAGAGTGTGTCCTCCTCCTATTCCCCAGATAAGGTATCTTCTGCACAGGGCTTGGCACCCAACTCCATGCTCAGCACACCAGGCTGGGCCTGCCCAGCCATGTCCCCTACTTGCACTTTGGAAGCCGAAGGTCCTTTTATCAGAACCCTGAAATGCTGTTGAAGGTGCCCCCGCTGCAGCCCAGCAGCGGCTGGAGAAGCAGGTGGAGGGAAGTGTTTCTCCCAAATAGGAGTCCTGGGGCCTGGCCAGGCCAGGGTTTGGGCCTAATGGCTGTGAGTAAATTACCCCCATCCTCCTTTCCGGAAGAGGGGGAGCCAGAGCCACTCACTATCATTCTGCTCTGACCTTGAAGGGGGTGGTGTTGGCCTGGCTTCTGGAATGGACAGAGTCCACCGCAGAAAGGGCTGGGGGCAGGAGGAGGTGGGGAGGGGCCCTGCCTGCGGAAGGTAGGATTAGATCATTAGCTCAGTGACCTCCTAGGGTTTCGATGTGCTGTGTTCTCATCCTACAGCTGGTTTGGTAATGATCTGCAAGTCCCGGAGAGCAACAGCACAGCTCTGCCTGACGCTCTCATTAAAATCTATGCAGCCAAGCTCGGCGCTTTGTAGCAGCCGGCCTTGCGAAGCCTCCTCAGCTCGGGGGGCTGGGGACCCAGTCAGCTGAGAGGCCCTCTGGGCTCTACTTATGCATATGTGCACCAAAAAAAAAAAAAGTGCTTCTTGAAACCCAAAGCCCTTTAAAATGATAAAGGATCCAATGCAGGTAGATATGTCTTTGGAATTCTATAATTGTAGGATACAAAGTTTAGTGATTATTTAAACCAAACAGCTGAGGCTGGTAAGAGTATGAACAATGGCCTGTGAGGGCTCTTAAGTACCAAAGCCAAGGAGCCACCTTCCTTCCTGGTCTGCCCAGCCCAGCCCAGGGGACCTGCCCCCATTCCTGTGGCCCAGGGGCCCAGCTTCCAATCGGCAGTGTCAGAAGTGACTTGTGGCTTTGCCTTGGTCGTGAGATGATTTCATTCCAAAGGAGCAGGCTGGGGGGGGGGGGCGGTGTTTGATCCCTTGGAGGCTCAGAGCAGCTGGCCCAAGCTCCAGCTTGCCTCCAATGGAAGCTTGAGCGCCCTCAGAAACGACCCTGACCAATGTCACCGCAGAGCCGAGGCGGTGTTGTCAGGGCTAATGTGAAATCTCTTCCCGTGGCGCCGATCCTCCGACTCTGCAGCGCCAGCTTGGACAGATTGAGGTCTCTGAGGCTTTGGTGACCCTGCTTATGCATTCCCACCGTGTCCCTGCTCTGCTCTAGGACTGCCTCCCTCTGCAACCCCTCACCTGACCTCAGGGCCTGGGGAGGGAGGCAGTGCACCACGCCCAGGCGCTTCTGCTCAGGAGAGATGTCAGCCTTCCTGGGGGGCAGCAAGCTTTGAGCTCTGCCAGGGGGCAGCTGGCCAGGGTCCAGCTGATCTGGGACCAGGTGTCCCACTGAAAAGTGCCTTGCTGTGCCTCCTGCCACATTCACTTTCACAGTGCCTCAGTGAGGGCAAGGAACAGTTCTGTTACTGTATTAACTTCATTGAGTTAATTCACTTGAGAAACTAACCAATTTTTACTTTCTGTCTAGAATGATGTACATGTAGGAGAGTAAGCTGTAATGCTCCCAAAGTGCCTTGTTTTCTCTGATATAAATATATTTATAAGGACATATTCCAATGGGTTCTTGGGTATGTTTGCCACATGGAGATTTTAGGGCATGGGCAAGTATAGTGGGGATGCCTTCTGCAAACAGGCCCTTTCCCCTGAGAATGGGGAAGGGGCTCTTCAGTTGGAAATCCAAGCAGTGGGGTTAAGTCAAACCCCCACAGTTACCCTTTCCTCCTCTGCCCTGTTTTTCTAAGACCCTGGAAGGATATCCAATTGTTTGAATCCCTGCAGCTCCAAGCCTGGTCTCATTTGCTTTCCTGCCAGGCTCATGTGTATATATATACCTGTATCCCAGTGATTTGAAGATTCCATGTAACTATTATGTATACACATGAATACTTAAATACCAATATTTTCAATAATTTGATAGTCTTTGTAGTCACTCAGCCACCTCTGAGGGTGTGTGTGAGTGTGTGGGGGGGTGTATGTGTGTGATGGGAGAAGAGATTAGAAGGGGCAATACTGATAGCCACGGGCTGTGACAGCTCAGAGGGGTTCAGCCTGGGTGGGCTCAAAGGGCAGGAGGCTTCTGGGCAAAGACCCAAGTTGGGGGACCAGAGGTGCAGACCCCCAGGCCTCTTTCCCCATGAGGAGGGGGTGTGTGCCAGATACTGGCTGCTGACAGCTCCTTCCACCAGGCAGGAGAGGAGCACAGGCTGAATGCTGATGCTGCCTCCCAACATCTGGCCGGCATCTTGTCTGCCTCTCAGACCCATGCAACTTACCTTAAATAGAACGATTTACAATGGAATCCGATAAAAGGTTTAGGCTGCTCCACGCCCCCTCTCCTGCCTGGGGAAGAGAAGGGGGCTGGGTTTATATTCTGACCCAAAAAAATGACCTACCCAGGAAGCAACGGTTGTTCAGAGCACAGCTGCTGCGGGTAACTCTCCCTGGGGGTAATTTATGATCAGACACCCAGTTCCGGGCCCAGCAGACGCAGTGGGGTGGCCCCCCCAGAGAGGGGAGGGAGCAGAGTTGGCGACTGCAGGTCATGCCTGCTGCTAGAGGGACAGAGTCACCCACTGATGTCCCAGGAGAGGGGCAGAAGTTTTGAATTGTCAGCAACTGCTGCGCCAGCCGCTCTGAGCTCATCGCTGGAGGTGGGGATGCAGGGGAGGGGGCTTATAGCAGGCTCGCCCTGCAGAGCCCCTCTGCTCCACCCTCCTGCTCAGGCCTGTGTTTAGTCAGCACTTGGCTGCCCGAGGCCAGTGACTGACAGGCAGCCAGAAGCCCGCCCTGGCAGAAGACAAAATGGTGGTGTTGGGAGCCGCCCTTGCTAGGGAATTGGAGGGAAGGAATGTGGTTCTGGGAAGAAGAGGCCTGAGCTTGAATTCTGGCTCTGCCACTTGGGAGCTGTGACCCTGTGCAAGTCGCTTCACCTCTGGGATAATCCTGAGAAGAATGAGCTCTTACTGAGTACCCACTACCTGCCAAAGACTGCATATGCTTAATTTCAATCTTTAGAAGCAGGGGTCTCCTGTTTTACACAGGAGTAAAACAGGTTCACGGAGGCAGTAATTTACCTAAGGTCATGCAGCTGGCCAGGGACAGCCCACACCCCATTCACTGTGCAATTTCTACATCCTAGTATCACAGTCTTTAGTGTGCTAAGGGTATGTGTAAAGTTTCAGTTACCTGCCACACACTCTGGTGACAAGTTTTAAAGGTGAAATAACAAGGGAGGGTTTATTTTTGCTCTTAGAAACGCTTTAAGCAAGTTCGACTGAGGGCCCAGCTATCCTAGACTTTTGAGGGTAAGTAGCTGTGCCCTCATCTGCCTGAGATGCTGCCTCCCAACACCTGGCTGGCATCTTGGCACCCTAGATTTGGGCTGGGCTTCACACAGACATACTGCCCAGTACACAAATGCACACGCACATTTTTTGCACATTCAGAGGCACATGTATGAGTGGCACGCAACCCAGGCATAGGGACATTGTGTGCAGACCTCTACCCTGTGCAAACAAGGACACAAATCAGTCAACTGTTACAGGAACATACATAATTGCAGGCAAACCTCACACAAAGTCCTTCCAAGCCACCCCTCCCTACTCGCTGCTCTGCCAGTTGCTCACTGCCCCCTCCTGGCCACCTAGTGGCCAGGGCAACCTGGCACCATTTCCTGAAGTTCTCTGAGTGGTTGGCAGCCAGCTCCTTAGATCATGGGGCAAGAGCAGTTTCAGATAACTCGCCCTTAGTTCCAGGGGAAGTGGGTCTAGAGGGGATTCTTGAAGCTTAAGGACAAAAATAGCCTTTAACAGCCAAAGGAATCTTTCAAGGTAGAGTTTGTCTTGTGATCTGTGTCTTATCATCACAGAAGGGCAGGTAAGATTTGAGCAAGGGGTCTGCATAAACAACCTCCCATGTCAGCAGATCACCACCCTGCCCTGCCCTGAGAAACTAAGCACACATGTGCACATGTTCTCATATATGCTACAGAGGAGAGGACCTGCCAGCCAACCAATCAGAGGCCGGTTTTTCTAGCTCCCAGCTGGCTGTGACCTTCCTGGACCACAACTTCCTCACCTATTCAGCAAAGAGTTAGTCTTGATGATGGATGTGGCCCCTTCACTTTGGTCTTCACCATCTTGGGTGCTGACACTGCTCCCAGATGTGTCTGGGCGGAGTACATCTGTAAATGTGACTCAGTGGATTGCTTAGGACAGTTTTGGAAGGATTACCAACACAATCTTTTATGCCTTATTTTAAAGATAAGTAAATGAAGCACAGAGAGGCACAATAATTTACCCTAAGTCACACAGCAAGCTGAAAGCAGGTGAAGAAATAGAAAACCTCTTTTTTCCAAAACACCAGAAAGCAGAGCACCTTATGGGGTTGGGCCCAGAGCCAAGGAGTCTTGAGTTCCAAGGGCTAAAACCATAGGCTCTGCTCTTTGGTCTGTGAGTCCTGATAGGATCCCTATGGCTGCCCGAAGTCTTGGAGAGAGCCCAGAGAAGGTCTGAGGCTTAGACATTTAGCACAGAGGCTGGGAAAAAGTAATTTGGAACCCCAGTGGGTTCTGCCACTTAGCAAGTAGGACCCCCCATTAGCAGACTGAGGGGACTTATGACTAAAGGGGCTTCTGCATAGCCTGTGGCCACTTGGTAGCTCACTTATCAACGTGTGTACACATGAGTGATGTGTACGTGTGTGTCTGGACTCCATGTATATAATTATACCTGTGGCTGAATGTTTGTGCATGTATAATAATATATGGGAGAATATTCATGTGTGTGTAGCATGTAAGTATGTTTGCAAACTTGTATATGACTGTGTTTGTGTGGCTAGTTGTGTATGTGTGTGTGCAGAATATTCTTTTTTTTTTTTTTTTTTGGTGTTAGGAATTGAACCCTAGCATACACACCTCCAGCCCCTGTGTATGTTTGGATATACATATATAAATGTAATCTGCATATTGGACAGGTGACTAAATGCACACATAAAACCTTGCTTGTAGGACAAGGGATATAGTTCCATGATAGAGCACTTGGGTACCATGTGAGGCCCTGGGTTCAATCCAAAGTGCTGAAAAAAAAAAAAAAGAAAAATAAATCTTGCCTGTCTGCTTACATACAGACTCAGATTCAGATGATCATTGAATTGCTTGTACATGAGCAAAGGTTCACATGTATTTTTGTGCAGAGTGGGGTGGAACATACCTAAACATGAGTGGCGAGTGTGTCAATGTGCATGCAAGAATGGCTTCACATGTGACGATACATATGAATCACAAGAATGCCTTCTCAACAGGATGATGTAAGTGTTGTCCCCAACCTTGGAATGCAGGGTGCCCTGCCTGGCTCCAGTCAGGGACTGGGTTCACAGCACCCCCACCCTTACCCTCCATGTGCTCCCTAGTCCCCAGACCCATCCTGCTTGGCCAATTTGCAGCCTTCCCAGCTCCTGGGAAGGCCTGCAGCAAAGTCAAGGGGCTGGTGGCCAATTAGCAAAGGGGTTAATCAGAGATCTGGGGACCCCTAGGGGGTAGGAAGCTGAAAGCAGGCATGGGGTTGGCAGCAGCTTGAGCTGCCTGTCCTAATACTGGGGGAGGGGAGGCCAAGACAGCCTGTTGGTACTGGAAACCAGGTGGATTCATGATTGCTGAGCACTGACAGTAGCAGGGAGCATGTGTGTGTGTACACTGTGAAACGGTGTGTGTACATGCATTCTAGTCCTTGAAAGTGGTCTTGCATGCATTAATGTATACATGCCTATGCATACCACCTGCGTACATTCGTTCAGGTTTCTATCTGTGTATACATGGATGTACAAAGGCATGCAAGTGGGTTTGCTTACACAAGCATGTCTGAATCTGTTTGCACATAGTTGTGTAGAAGGGTAAGTCTGTATACACATGTGCAAGGCATGCACACACATTTAAGTATGTGTTCCAACATGCAGTCGTGTACATATAAAGTGGCTGTGATCTGCCTACACATGTGCAATGGTATATCTGTGTGCACAAGGATGCATGCACTGCTGCACTGATGCATATGAATATCTGTATGTACGTGTGCGTGTGTGTATGTGTGTGTGCGTGTGTGTGTGTGTGTGTGTTTGGAACATCTGGACACCTGGCTCCTACTTGTGCTCCTGTGCATGTGTCAATGTGCTCAGTTCTCCGCATGGAAGGAGCTGGGGGATGCAGGGTTCACAGTCTCCAGGCTCTAGGAGGGAATCTGACAGACAAGCCTTGCCGCAGCCCCCGGGCCCCGGGAGCCTGTTTTCCAGCCTGTAGAAGCTGTGAGCCCGTGAACTCATCTTATATTAATAGCTGCTGTCTCCGCACTTATTGCAGGGAGAGGCGGTCATGGCCCCAGCGAGGGTTTGGCCCTCAGTACTCCCCCCCCCCCCAACACACACAGGACCAGGGGAGAAGCAGAACATGTGTGGGCCCCATCCTAGGCCCAGCCTGGCAGGAAGAGAGCCAATACAGGGAGCAGCTTGGGCCTCTGTATCTGGTTAGGATCAGGCATGGGGTTAGAAAGCTGGCAGAGGCAGAAAGGCCCCCATACACACACACACATGCTATGCTGAGCCACTTGGAGCTGAGCACAAGAGGAGTCTGAGGCTGAAGGAGACAGAAGGCTCAGTCTGAGGGGAAGACACTGTCCTGCCTCAGGGGATCTCGTCCAAGGCAAAAGATGTGACCCTGCTCTCAGAGATCGTCAGAGATCCTAAGGCTGTGACAGGGCCCAGCTCTCAGGAATGCCTGCTCTAAGGGAGAGACATGACCTTGAATTCTGGAGTCCCTTGATCTGAGGAGAGACAAAGAGAGTTGCTTTCAGGAGCCTTCGGTTTGAGGGAACAGACATGCCTCTTCTCTTAGGGACCCTCAGTCGAAAGTGAGCGACAGCCT